CAAAGAACCAAACAAAAACAAACGAAACATCAAGGAATCCATCTTAATTGAACAAAACAACCCTACTCTAAACCAACACTCTGGGGGGTGACAAGATATCTCTTTTAAGTCTTGCAACAGTATCCGGTCATGTGACCTCTTTGTTCCATACTCTGTGTGTGTGTGTATATATATATATCTGTGTCAGTGTAAACTACTTGTACCTGATGATGACAAAACCTTGTCGAAACGTTGTACGTTTGCTGTTATGTTAAACTTATATTAAAGGTTTTCTTCGTTACCCATTCAAGCCGTCTCTAAGCATTATTTTAGTATAATATCCTATCTTGAATTTTAAATGGAAAAAGACAAATTACTATTGAACACGCAATAAAATATTGAATAGTGAGAACAATGATTTTTATTTTGTTCTGTTGTACACGTATCATGTTAAGTCTACATTACTTCTACTTTATTTTATATGTTACGTTTCAGTAAAACTAAAACATTTTATTTGAATAACTTCGATTGAGTTTACTTACTGGCGATAAGTGTGTTATATAATTCACACTTATATAATAAGTTTGAGGACTATTTTTTGTTTAGACAAGTATGATCTTTTGAGCGCTAGTATGATCATTCTCAATTATGTGAATTGATGTACACCTATATGAATGATTCTTGGTGAATCTCTAATTTGTATACACGGTTTACTCGTTGTATTTGATTTAAATACAAAAACTTTATTTTCATTTAGAACCTATGTACTTCAGGAAGCTCGCATTAGCGATGGAAATGCCTTACCTGTTTAAATAATTTTTTTAAATATCAAAACCCACTATAAAAACTCTAATTTATAAAGTAAAATAAAAAAAACACTTTATTTTTAATAGATTTTCATATTTTTTTTTCGAAGTAGGCTAAAATACGTACTTAAGAACCGAGCATGCGCTGTTTCAAACCTGTATCTTTTACTAAACTTTTGTGTGTGGAGGGCGCCATCTTACCGGAAAGTGGCTGCTGGTTCCATTGTATTGTAAGCACGTTTAAAATGTTAATATAATGTTACTTCTTGTATTCTGTATAAGGCAAAAAATCATCATTTGCATAGTTTTTGAGAATTAAGAAAAGAAGGACTGTTTGAAGAATAAATGTATTTTTATATCTCGTACTTCTCTTTATATTTTTCAGATGTCTAGTGCCGCAGACTCGGAGCCACACAACGCCACAGAACAAACCCTTAGCCCACCGGCGAAAAAGCGCAAGACTAACACTGTGAGCCACCCTAATTCAACTTCAGACAAAAGTGCTGTAAGTGTAAGTATTGTATGTAAAATAATCTAATCTAACCTTGTCTTCAATTGATTTGTAAGTGTAACTGTAAATAAAAAAAAAAATATCGAATTGGTGGTGTGTATTAACAATATAATAACATTTAAAGTTAAACTTACTGCATTTGTACAACTATTACTACTACTATTAGTATTAGTCCTAATGGGTGGTTTCAATGAAAATGAAACTTTTGTTTGAATGTTACAAGTTTAAAATTGTTGCTGTGGTTTATTAATAATATTTTTATTACTCCTGCTGATGTACTAGTATGTATTTCATATTTATGTTACAAAGTCGTGAGTTTAAATGCTTGGACATGTTTGAAGTTTACTAGGTTAATTTGAAATGTAATTTCTTAAAAGTTAAAATTGGCTATTGAACAAATTTGCATACATGCAAGAATGAATGTGTGGCATGCTATACTATAATGTCTGCATACCAGTCATTACACTCGTAATATTGGGTTTGTTTTACTATTATAGTCTGATCTTTGTTAGAGTTATATAGTTGCTTTCAGGTTTTAAACATTTTATGTAATCTTTAGGTCAAGAGTTCCATTTTTTCTTTCTTTTGGCAACTAATTTGTTAAGTTATTTTATTTTTACTCATTATCAGTGCATTATCTCATCCATTTATTACCTAGTTTTCTGTTAATTTTTCCTTGAGGCCTTTGCCCCCCCCCCTCAAGTTTTATATCATCTTTTTATGATGGTTTTCTTGTAAACTATGATATGTAAATAACTTATTTTCATTTTTGGGTTAATAAATTTTAATATAGTTAAAAATGCATTTTCTGCATAGTTTATTAGGAATAAAGCTAAAATGTTAAATTATATTTTTGTGATTGTTTTTGGTTCTGTCGTGTTTGGGTTTATGGTGTATAGTTATTGAGGTGTGTACTAAGTATTTGAATTTATTCTTACACTTTTTTTTTTTTTTCTCTATAACAGTATAAGTATTCAGTTAGATGAGATGCAAAGTACTTTTTTGTGTTGTATGTTTCTGGTAACTTATTTGGCACCATGTATTTTCTATGAAATTTATATCTGCTTTTGTTTTGTGGTTTTTAAAATGCTTTTACTGAGATTTTATCATATGCTTTCCAACAAGCTTTTTATTATCAATCTTCGTGGTATAAAATGTTTTTTTTTATTATGCTTACAAGTTTTTCTTAAGTTATGGGTTTTACTGATGTTAGAAAAATTTCTCTTGTTCATCTGTGAATTTAAAATTCCATATTCCCTTTACTATTCTTCCCCAGTGATACGTTTTTTTTCACAGAATTTTAAGTGATATAATTTTCTAACTATTCACTTATTTCTTTCATGTATAATGTTTTCTCTTGTTACTTACCTAAAGTGTAATAATCTGGGTTTTGGTATTTAAGTTTTCTTTTTCTAACATTTTGTAAATTTGTGCATTTTGAATTATTTTTGGTTTTTGATTTCGTGGTAGCAAAATGTTTTAAATTTTGTTCCATATCAGGAAGTTTTCCTTTTATCTTCTTGTTTTCAAAATTTACCCCCCTTTTTAAGTGTCTCAATTAGTTCTTTTTTTTTATATTGAATTATGTATTTTGGTGGTATTTTCATTTTTTTTGTACTTTATTAGTAGTATTCCATTGTGGAACTCTCTCTTAATTCAATAATTATTAGTCTACATATCATTTGGCTTAGTAAGTGGGATATGTACCTGCCATTAACCCTATCACGACTGGTAAAGGAACTTTATGGTGCTGTGTGAACATCTGTACACCACACTTAAAAAATTTAGGGAAAAAATAGTAATACTAAATCCATTTCAACAATTTTTAACTCAGAAATATTTTATTTCTTTTTTATATAATTTTGTAACATTTATTTAATGTAATTTCTAATGACAAATTAGAAGTTAAAACTTTCTGTGCAGCTGAGAGTAGACTTGCCTCTAAATAATACTCATTGATTTTTTTCATAATAATTCTGTCCATTTCAAAACATGGATTTTTATTTTTTAAGACAATACAATTAGCCAATTCTTGTTTCTCTTCTCATTTTCCTTTTTGTGAATATTTATTATTACATGCCTCTGTTTGCATCACATGCTGTGATGTTATAAAAGGTGGGAATAACTACTAGACTTTGAAAATAGTTATAGGGAGAATTTACCTACCATTGGATAGAGCAGATTATAAACTATTAATACAAAGCGAATAAGGTATTGTGTAAAGTGATCAGATGCAGCTCCTGCAGAGAACAACAGAATTTAATGTGTAGTTTAGAAGACTTAAGATTGAATCAGAGATCTGGGAATTTGTTTATAATTTCTTTAGGAGTTATTTTCATTCCTGAAAATGTTCTGGTGTTAAATTATATATTTTTTTGAAAGTTCTAAAGATTTCTTCTATAACAGGATATCAGCTAAGTAAGACTCATTAGGTTTAGATAGTGCAGTTGTGACAACAAAATAGAGACTCAAATCCATATTTGTTTAACATTATTGACAAGTTAGTCTTTTTCAAACAATGCCCAGGAATAAAAAAACTTAAAATTTATTTACAATAAGGTATACTAAATATAACCTGACATGATTTTGAAAGGATAACCTTCCAACACTAATAAATCTTTGTCAGTTTATATTGTGTATCCAAAAGTGGTGTCTACTGCAGTTGGTAAATGTTTCAAAAGAAATGTTAATGAAAGTCAGTGAAGGTGAAATTGACAAAATATATAAATTGGAACTTTCTGATTGTCAATAAAAAAAAAAAAGTGAATTCTAAGATGGTAGTATTCACAACAAAATTTGAAACATTTCCTGATATATAAAAGAAAAATTAAATCAAGTTACATAAAAAATTTTTATAAAGTATTTTGTAAACTTCATGCAATTTGCAGGGCTCAAAATAATGCAAGCACGCTTAACAAATTACTGGTTAGCATTGCAGTTTTGCTGTGAAAGGTTTAGAAAAATTTGATGGTGCACATTTTAGAAGGAAGATTCCAACTGTTGAGTATCAGTATACTTGTAATAATATAATTCACTTATTTTTAATACAGAAGGTAGTAATACGATTTTTTCACTTGTTGATTTTATGGTCTTTGTTTAAGCTGCATGGCTTTAGCAGGCTAAGTATTAGAAAATGGGGATAACTCGACTGCAGTTTCAACTCATTTGATTGGTTGCCAATGCAATTAGCACATTTTCTATTCAGCTAGACTTGCACCATCAGGTCTCTGCAGTGCAGTTTTTCTAGCATCATTCTTATAAAGCTGTGTCTTAAATGGTTGCTTATTGAAGGTAATAATTAAACAGAAATTATATAAACTTCAGATGTTTTCCACATTCCTCTTTATTTGTCCATGTTTCACACATTTTTGGCTTTTAATGCTTTTGTAACTTTTCACTTTAAAACTGTAATCCTAGTGTGTTGATAGTAGTAAGTTTATAAACTTAGACCAATTCTTTTGTCTCATAAAAAAAAATATTGCCGATATGTGGTACTGCCAATAAATAAAGGTTGATAATCTTCCTGGAATAAAAAGTGTTTGTATGGGTGTGTGCCACTTTTTTGTGTATAAAACTTAAGTAAAAATCCCTTGTTCATTAATATTTATCTTCATAGCCTTACTATAATATCCATATGGACAAACTGTATAATAGATTAAGATTAGGTAGACCTTGTTATGCTTAAAAATTGTTCTGAGCATTGTTAACCCCCCCCCCCCAAAAAAAAAGTTGAACTGGCAACAAACTATAGTAACAGCATTTACACGGTTGTAATGAAAATAATTGCTATATTAAAACACCTTCAAAAATAACTTTTTGAAGCTTAAAGATTGTGGTCTGCCTTCTTCCAAAATACAAGTCAAACCAAATTTTAACAGTTACTTTTTTAAGCAGTTTCGTCAAAAATATATACCAAATCTATATTAAGTTTTAAACAACAACGAAAAAAACCTGTCATTCGGCATGAGAGAATAATTTTCATTGTCAGTATTTTATACGAGTATTGAATATAGTTAACAATGTAAGGTAGTAACAAATGTTGTAAAGTAGAAGTTCTGTCAATGTAAAATAAGTGTTTGATAGTCTTAAGATAAGATGGAGGAGAGAATACTTAAGGATTTGGACTGTATCTGTCTAGGAAGTTTTAGACAATGTTTTGAGCTGCTTGTCCAGATATTCATCAGGTGGAGATATTGCTAGCAGCTCTAACTCATCCATAACTTAAATGCACTTAACTTAAAAAAAACATAAAAAACTTGTCAATTTGTATGAGCATTATCAAATACATGAATGCTTTAAATAAAATTTAGAATATGACAGCAAGATTATCTGAAGAAACAGTTGGAAATTGTAGTGAATAAAATATTTCATTAGTTTAAAAATCAAACATAAAAGTCAAAATTCTAAAACATAACAAGGTTACGAGATCAGTTCCAGTCAGTCTTAATGAAAACCCTGTTCACTATAAAATTAGTTACTGTATTTAGTTACTGTATTTGTAACAGCCTGTGATATCTTTATTTAAGTCTGAAGTCGAATTAACTGATAATTTAAATTTATTAGTTAAATTGTACTTTGGATTTAGTATTTAAATATATGCCGATATATTAGTCAATTTATGATATTTGCTAACAAGATTGATACACACACCATCTTTGTTTTTAACACAAATACGTCTTAATATACACACAACAATACAATTTATAGTAACAATTATTTAAATAGTTATTACAAACAATATAAAAAACCTTCTTTCTAGTTTGGAACTTCCTTGATATCTTATTGAGGGTTCACGACGAGCGAGTTAATTACGAGTTGATGTAAGTACGATTCACCGGGAAGCTAGTCAGCTTTGTCCTTGGTCACACACGCTAGGTTTTTCACAGTTGAAGTTAGGTAATATTTTCGTAAAAATACTAATGTCCAATGAGAATCCACTGAAGTTAGACGATTTGTAATGTTCGAACTTTGTAAATGCTCCTAGTCAAATATCTTAAGTT